CTTTAGATTTAATTTTCTTTTTTAATCATTGTGAATTTTAGCTATGTTTAAGCATCATATAATAAGATATGGCTGGCTTTAGTTTTGTTTTTCTTTTTTAATCCGTATGAATTTTAGCTATGTTTACCCTTCTGAGGGTAAAGATGTGTTAAACTGGTTAAAGTTTAGCCTTTAACTTCCGGAAGAAATTAACATGTAATCTTTTTTTTCCATAATATCCTTACATTATTCAGCAAACAGGTAATGAGAATACTCAAACTTGCTACTAGCTGTCAAGAACATTTGCAGCCACTAAAAAGGAGAATTAACAATCATATTTTGGGGGTTAAAGGTCTCAGGTGTCACTCTTGTCGGCTAAGTTGAACACATCACCACTGCTGCCATGGCTGATCAGATGCCATAGTGCTCGACAAACATCAATGACATGAACAGTGCTCATCTTCAGGTCCTTAGTCCAAAGCAGGTGGAAGAAATTTATTATCAAAGTTGATTTCATTAGAATCAAAAGGCAAGCAACAATTGTACATTAAAATAGTTAATTGTATGGTAAGAGGATCTTTCGACAAGAGTTGATGTCAAAAAAGATTAAAGGGGGTAAATTTCTCAAGGAACTGTGTGTAAGTATTATCAACTGAGCTGATAACGTAAATTGACCACCGTGAAGACTTTAAAAGCTGGCGTTTCGAGTGTTAGCCCTTTGTCAGAGCGATAAATTTCCCTGTTACTCTAATTACTCCTCTCACCAAAAAGATGTGAGTTTGATTTAGTGCATCACTTTTTAAAGGCATTCAGAAAGTGTTACAGACCAAAACAGCCTGCAAGTACTTAGTACTAATAGCCTGTTAGAAGTCGGATATCAATTTACATTGGCCTTTATCCTAAAATGTTTCTTAAGATAGTCCATCAGAAAGGTGCTAACTTTGATGTCCTTGAGTGTTTAATGTGCTCTGTAAATGGTCGGTAGCACATACAACGTGGGTTCTTAATATAATACTTCTTAGAAGTGACTGTCTGTGTTTGATAGATGTCTTCATTGACAGTCAACTGTGCTACTTTTAATTACTCACTCAGTCCTTGCCTGTCAGCTTTTCCATAAATAATTGCTGGTCTAACAACAATAAAGTTTAATCTAAAAAGACAAAAAATATATCATTTATACCATCAACACCTTAAATTTTTCCTGTGGTTTTCTCTTTGTGTTCTGTGTTTCAAACTGGTTACTAGCCATAAGTATAAAATAAAACACAGGGAAACTAAAAGTGCATGTAATGAAAGGGGACTGAGGGAATAAATTGAACCACAAAAATCATATTCAAGGCTAATGTCAATTTTCCATCAATTATTTCATACCCACCAAGTTTAGCTATTTCTTGTTCCACCATCAGCTTGTATTTTGCAATACATGTCCATGGTGATTTCTTGCTGTCTGCGTTACTTATGCCCTGTTACTAGAACAGAATATAAGTGAATGAATGAAAGAATGGAGTTCAATCAAGTCAATGCTGGGGCTGATCATGGAGATCTATCTGACTATTATTCTTATGATAAATAGGAGAATGACAACAAGTTGAGAGACCAAGAAGAGGACTGCTAAGAGTTACTAACATCAATATTTCAAAAGAAATGTTTTCACAAGCAATTCAAATTAAACAAAACCGTCGTAGTTCATTTTGAAATTAAACCCTAAGGGTTTTCCTTTTCATATAAGGGCAAAGTAAATAAGGATAATTAAATAGACCCCAAGAGGAAAGCTAACCTAGGCAACAAAGTTCCTTTTCAGGCGAATAAATTTCAGAAATTGCTAGCCTGGTGGCTTGTTACACAGCTGAGCAGGTGTCCAGCCCTGTTCATTGTATGCTAGTAACACAAAATAAGTGTGTATTCACAAAATACCAATGTAATAAGCCAAACAAAGTAGCTTTTCAATGTAAGGTAGGAGGAAAATTCAAATTATTAGTTTACCAAAATACCAAGAGTTTATGGACACAGCAAGAGATTGCATGATTGTGATAACTGCTGGTAGCAACCAGGAAGATATTGAGGGCACCAACATTAACCTCTCTTCATGAAACCCTTTCACTCCCAAGAACTTACTTACGATTCTCCTCACAGTCTCCAAAATATCTGACATGAAATGACAAAATGATTTATTAAACTTTTATCACCAGTGCATCAAGTATGTACAAGCGGACTTTGATAAAATATACTAAAATACCAGGCATATTGGCTAAATTTAAAACCTAACATGAGAAATAAAAAAAAAAAGTTCAGACTACTGAACTTAAATCTATAAAATGCTACACTGTACAGGCCTACTCTCAACTCAATTATGTTATCAGAATATTAACAAAATGATTGCTGTTCCCTTCTCTTGGTAGTAAAAAATGCTGGCAACAATTTCAACTGTGCCCATCTTGACTTGCTGAATTCTTATCTAACCTGCATCCAATACAGTAGCAACTTTCTAATCAAAGAGAACACTCTTCTAATCTGCATCTTAAGAACAGTAGCAACTTTCTAAACAAAGAGAACACTCTTCTGAAAAGCAACTCTAGATCCTAAATAAATGTGTTATTTTTGTATAGGTCGTGGAAGAAGCTTCCAATTGATCTCCTCGATATAACCTTTGTAAAATGACTAACATAAAGTGAAACTGGTCTGACAGGCTAAAAGAATGCTAAGAAATTTAATTGCTACAGGAAGTTCTTCAGCTTTTTTACCAAAAAGAAACTCCGTTGTACAGTCACGTATCACATATACTAATAAACAAAGTCCTCTTTGCTAAATCATAAATAATGGAGGGAATAATATCCATCTGCCACGTGGCACTTAACTGGTAACGAACTGGAATCATTATTGATAAAAAAAAATATTTTGAATCAATTTTCCTTTGAAAAAAGATAAAATGGGGCTCTAATTTTTTAGTTTATGACTGCACACTGAGTTAGATGCCAATTATGCCCTGAAACTTACCATGAATATAATCTAGAAAAAAGGAAATATCAAAACTAACATAATAAACTGTGATGACAGTTTACACAAATAAGGAAGCCTTGTCATGAGTCTCTGCTGTTTGTTCTGTGAACATGGCCTGTCCAGCAGAAGTACCCAGGGGGTAAGCACCGAGAGGGTAAGCACCCTGGCAGTAAGCCATTGGAGCCCCTCCGCTAACCTGCATGGATGAATGAGAGACCACCATGCCAGTGGGGGCCATTGTTGGCTGAGCAATAACCATCATGGGGGGATTCTAAAAGAAACAAAGATTTGCTCAGTTAGTTAGTTTTGTTAGCTGTTTTCAACATTACTGGCCAGCATAAATAACTTATATACAGAATGTCTCTCATACAAGAACATGTTGTCAATAACTCAGTGAGGTATTGTAGCAATATGCTACAAAATACAAAGATATGTGGTTCATATATGTGGTTTGCTTGAGATGGGTTCAGATTCTTTCTTGTCAACCACTCCTAAAAAACTGAACATCTTTCTTCGCAGTTTTTTTTTTCAACAATAAAGAAAATTGTGCTATTAAGATTTATAAAGTTCATGTATCATTTAGTGCTTTCAATTCTACAAATCTCTAAATGCCTCTCTACTTACAGGTGGGGCATAGCAAGTTGTAATATAGCCCAAAATTGATCCAGTCACAGCCAAAGCAAAGGAGATGTAGCAGACAAACATGACCACAATAATCACAGTTCTGATGCTCTTCAGGTAGGAGCAGTCATCCACTGCAGTAAAAAATGTCAATTTAGAGATAATACTTTTAACAGTGATCAGAGAGGTGGTTCATTGAGCTTTACAGAGATGAAGTAAGCTTAAATAATAAAAACTTGGTTAGTTGCTAATATTTTCATCATTGAACTACCCTTGTCATTATTGCAACTTTATATGCCTTGAATTGTGCTACCAAGTGTCTTCCTCTCAATTGTAACAAACAAGTTGATTTTTCAGAATGTTGATCTTGTGATCCTATAAATCTCAGCAGTTGATCCTGCTAAGAGGTTTTTGAAGAGAATTGTCTTTAGTTTGAGCAAAATTTTAATAAAACAAATCACAAAATCCAGATACAAAACTATAATTGTAATTTTGAGAATGATCAACAATGCAAAATTTTCTTGATCTTCGTTATATATAGACAGATCACAATGCAATTTAACTTTAATTTAGAACAGGATGCAGAATTTCAGAAAAGCTAGATTTTGTTTTGAATTACTAGAGTGTTCAAAGATAGAAAAAAGGAAAATTAAACCATTTACAAAATAAACTTAATTAAATGAATGAAGAGCCACCACCACCTTACTCTGAAGCACTTGGAGTTATTTGAATAATCAAGTGCTGTTTACGTGGACATTTCCACTATAATCATTATGTACATTTGACATTTAGCTTAAAGGTACAGTTTTTATTAGAGAAAATTATTACGTGAGTGCTGTTTACGTGGACATTTCCGCTAAAATCATTATGTACATTTGACATTTAGCTTAAAGGTACAGTTTTTATTAAGAGAAAGATATTACGCGAGTTAAGAGTAAGAAAGAACGATGGAGAAGACATATCTTAGGACTCAAGATAGACTTAAATAACTAACATCAACATGACATCAATTTTCATCAATCCATGAACAGTTTTGCCATTTTTGTAAACCTCAAGCTCCCTTTAGATCTTACTTTAGCTGCTAGCATGATTGATATTTCCTGTATTGCTTTATTTCTATTTATATCTTTTAAAAACATACCTCCATAACTGATGCCATCGAGACAATAGCAAGACCCTCCCAAAGTGATACAGTCCGAAAGGTCAACTGCAATATCCCAGTAGGACAGAGCTAAAGTGACAGTAATGGATGCTGCCGCAGAAATGATTGCAGTAATAATGCTGAAGACCAAAAATGTAACCATCTGGAACAAATTACAAAATATAATTTAAATTAATAGCATTTTTTTGACTCTCAAAATAATCATTTATCAAAACATTTTGTCCATACCTTTAAGGCTATAAACAAAACTGTCCCACAATTTGCAGGAAAATGTTCTCGAATGTGGCTATCTGAGGGCATTAGATAATCATCTGAGTCCTGAGAATTCTGTGTTCTGTGCATAACTTTCCCAAATTCCCCCTTCCTCCCTCCTCTCATGTTTAGTTCATTGAGATGATAAAAACATGAAAAAGTCTTCAATATGAAAAATGTAAGGAAACATCATAATTTTCTGACAATTTTCAGAGTCACCAGATGACCATAGAGTTTCATCCTTTTCTTTTGGAATAACCATAAAGAAAGCTTCACAAAAACAGAATATTTGCAAAGAATAACACTTACACAACAATGCTTCTTGGTAACACCTCCAGCAAAGCCAAAAATTCCACAGATAAAGAACTATAATATAAAGTCACTTTTAATACAGCAAAAGTAAAAGAGGTAATGAGCATAACAATGTTCCTAAACACACAGGTGGAGAGATTTTGGAACATCATTTTGAGTATAGTCTCTCCTGTGTCTTTGCACAATACTGGTGGTTTTCAACCTTTAAACAATAGTGCTGTTTTGCTTGTGTTTCCTAATTGTAAAATAATGTCTACAGTGTCAAGAATTCCTGATTAAAAAATTGAAATTTAAGGGATGGGAATGAAACAGTATCAAGAAAAACCTAAGGGTGTTCTCTTTGATCTGCACATGACCTGTCACCCTTAACAATGAGTCTTGAAGTCTCCTTATCAAAGTGTTTGTTTTAATCTCCATTTCTTGCATTTCTTGAAAACTTGTCAAATATCTGGGTTATATTCTTAGAGATGAGGAGCTCTGTCTCAGAGTAGCTAATAACTGAGAGTAACTTAGAGTTATCATTAAGTTATGATTTTTAGCACAAAGTCTGTAAATGTTTACTTTCATTTGCAATGAACAGAAGTAAATGATAAAAAGAGTACTTCAAGCTTCCATTTTTCACCACACTCAACTCCTAGTGTTGGACACATAATAAAACTTGAAACAGCAAAATGAAATGAAACAAGAAAAACAAACAAAACCACTGAAAGGACCAAAATGAAATAATCAGAATGAAACAAACCTAACAAAAAAAATGGCCAAAATATCACACGAGTCAATAATCATAAAATAATAGTTATAATGATGATAAAATGACTGCCCAGGGGAGTCTGGTGTCAGCTGTCATATTTGTCTCATCACAATTTAGGTCTATTCCTGGTCTACCTTGCAAGGAAATTCAATTATCTCTCAATTGCCATCAACTTGGTAAAAGGCATCTATAAAACCTTAATTAAAAAAAGAAAATTAGGAAATAAATTATGGACATAAACATTGTTGATGAATACAAAAATCTGTTTCTTCCTATCCTTTCCTTGTATGCTTTGGTATTCCATAGGGCTGGCATTCTGTCCTGGAAACTGCATGTAATTATCAAATTATGGCTTCAACTGCTTGCATG